GAGTTTAGCAGATCAGAATTAGATCATCAATCATATTTTACAATATTTCAGTCTCACTGATTTGAAGTTTCAGGAAATCAAATTGATATAAAATTATAGAAGTCACATTACAATGAATACCCAGGATTGAAATGATTTCAAAACAAGATTGTTGTGAGATCAGTTGTTGTGAGATATCAACAAACATAGACTTACCTGGGCAGCACATGTGATTTCTAGAGTTTTTTCAGGTTTAGGTGGATGAGATGTAACACCTATTGAATACCAAACTCTGTATCCTTGCTTGGATTGTACCTTATCTTGAGAAGACTTGGCTTTTGACACCGATGAAATGCTAGACTTACTAGCATTGGATTGAGCAGATCTGCCACTCTCTGGTCGCTTATTTTGATCTTTAGCTTCCTCACCATCACTATCTTCCCTATAACAAGTATAAAACAATACAATATTACCTGAGTAGTGCGCTAATGTTTGTTTTAAAGGGCGGTAGTCGTCGTGCCCTATCCTGTTCAATATTGGACTTATATCATGTCGATACAATGCGTATAAAATACATTGTTTATTTACATGAAATTCGAACACGCGCTGCGCGACAACCATGGCAATTTAATTTACTCACAATACCATAGATATTCACATCAATTCACACCATACATTTATCCATAAGTAAATAAAGTTTGACATACTCAAAATTTGAAAGTCCACCAGCGATGAATGATATGATGCCTTTGAAAGTCCCTCGTTTCCAAGGTGCTGCGGTAATGGTATACTCTTCTTCTTGTCCAGGTAATACAGTTAGAACAGGTGGTCCACTAATAATAGCCATATCAGATACAGCCCTGTAAACCATCTTATTGAATGTCACATTCGGCACTTTAATATCATAGGAACATCTGCAATGCAAAATTAAGTTTGTTTTAGAGTACAATCAAACCTTGACCCATCTCCTAGGAAGTTATATTTGTTTACAATTGATATAGTTCAAATAATCAGAAATTTTGATTATTTTTAGTTTTAACACTAGCTTACAAGTCACCAGTTTAATTACTGTAAAATACTTTATTTTCGCTTGGAATTAATTTTTCCTATTTTCGCTGGAGGAATGATTCAGTGAAAATAAAATCCAGCGAATATACTTTTTCTCCTATATTTTACATTCAACTTGTCAAAAATCAGTGAAAATAAATTCCATACAAAACACCCAAAAAGTCTTTTCCGCGAAAATTAATTCCAGCTAAAATAAAATATTCTGCAGTATACTGTGGTTTATTCATGCACCATGTGTTTTATTTGCTGACTGACTAGGACAGGTAAAACAAGGAAAGATGTCGTTACTATACATACTTTTCTCCAGCTAAACATTCCATTTCGATATGATCTAAAGCAAGTGGTTTTTGTCCTAACCCTTGTAAATAGAACATATGATCTGTGTTGTTGTCAATATTATGCAGCAACAACTTGCCCTGAAAAGAATAAAACAACATGTAAATACAAATGATTGTGATTCCTGTTTACAAACCTAGCACCTAATGACCTATATCTGTATACATGTAGTTTATCTTTACAGTGAGTGGCAATCTTTTCATTTATGTATCAAGAGTACAACAACTGCAAAGATTGAGATTTGGTTTTTTAATCATATACAGGATGTAGTTTCAAACAAGTCACATCCACAGCATGTTATTAATCTGCATCACAAGTCACTACAGCATGTTTGTGATAGAGGTTCAACCTAATTTACATCCAGCAATAAACGTGATGTTTTCAAATTTGAAATTTGTATAAATAAACTAAAACAAGC